AAAAAAAAAACAAACATTAAAAAAGTAAGATTGAATTGTGAAAAAAATAAAGCTTTATTTAAAACAAAACAAAATCTTTTATGCTGTTTCGAATTAAATTTGGTACAAAACGACTATATTCGACAGATTTATTTTGTTCCTTATCTTCTTTAAAATGCTTTGCCTTTTATGTCGTCGTCATCGTCGTCGTTTTCATTTTTCTTTCACTTAACACTTAGGCTAGATAAATATTTTTTATTAGTTTTTTTATTTTTTTTTTCAGTACAATTTTTTGTGGGTTTTCTTTCCTTTATTTTTCTTCTGTTACTTTTGTTGTTGTTTTTCTGATTGTGATAAGGGAAGAAAGAGAAAGGTCTTTGCTCTTTTGAGAATTTTCATTGTTCAAAGATCATATGCAACTGATAGACCCGCGATTGGATGATTCCTCTTTTAAGACAGCGACAAAACTGTCAGGTGCCAAAAGTAGAATCAGAGGTTTCAAACGGTAAATTGGAGTCTGGAAAAAAAAAGGTTGTTTCATAATTTGCCAATTGATAAGCGAAACTCGATGATAAATCATTTCACTACGACGATACACTGTCGTACTTTTACGGTCTGAATTTCACCGTTACAATCACCAATTTTCGTGCTGCACTCGGTGACTTGTGACAGTCGGCAATGAAAAACTGTGTTCCATGACTTTTTTCAGGTTTTTTCCTTCTCACTTAAATAGAATAATATATGAGGAAGAGATAAAAGAAGAGCAAAAATATCAGAAAAACATGAAATAGTTTTTTGATTGAGCGATGGAAAGGATGAGACAAAAAAAAGAAGCCTATGAAGAAAACAGGGACGGGCTAAAACGAAAGACAAAGTGTTTTATAAGTGCTTAATTGTTGGTTTATTGTTGTTAAAATTTTTTTGGCTATCAGTATTCTAGAAGTAATTTGTTTATTTGGCTGTTTGATGGGTTTATGAATAAAAGTGAGACGAAAAAAAAAAAAAAACAGGAGAAAGGACGGTGAAAAAAACATATTTGGGCACAAAAATTGCCAGTTGGGATTTCATAAAACACTTGATGATACCGTCGTTTAAAGTTGAAGTCCTTATTTTGCTCTTTTTTTTTTCAACTTTCTCTTTACTAATTATTTGTTGCTCACAAATCAGTTTTTTCTTTTTATTTGTATTTTTTGTATTTACATATTTGTTTGTTTATCTTTTTTATGTTTGCTACTTGTTGTCTACTGATAATAAATGACTTCTTAAAACTCTCATTAAGATTAGTTTTTTCTTTTTTTGACCTATATTTATGACTGGATGCCTTTAACGACAAAAACTAAAAAGTGCCAAAGTCATTTCTTCATTTTCAATTTTTCAGCCAGTAAATCTTCACCGGCTGAATGATTATTTTGCACAAAGCACTTTTGCTTTCTCTATTTATTTATTACTGCAAAATATGTAACGAAACAACTAACGGTAAAAACAAAGACTGAAACTTCAGTAAAAAAGTTCAGTGCGTGAAATTGTCGAGCAAGTAGAAAAAAAATATGTATTAAATAATTTTTTTTTTTTTCGATGATTAGTTAGTATAATGTGGCAGATAAGATTGGCTCTTAGCCTCAGTTTGAATATGAAAAACGCATTAGCTTTTATTCTTTATTTACTGGAAATACTCATCTATTTCTGCAGAAAAAAACGAAGAAAAATTATATTCTCTTCTGCTTTATTGTTGTTCAAATATCCGCTTACTAAAAAGCATACCCAGTTTTTTCCTTGATTTTGTTATCTTCTAAACTAGTGAATAGTAAACCAGAACAATGTTTTTGTTGCAAATTTTAGCTCAATGTTTGTGGTGGATCTTTGTAATGAACTTCGTGAACGTCGAAAAAAAAGTCGTGTACAAAAATTTTACGACTATCAGCAGTATCTAGAAGAAAAAGTGAAAGAAGATCAAGAAATTCTTGATGGCCAACATAACACAGCGCAGATCAACGCGGCAGAAAGAAAAGCTAAAGTTAAAATTCAAACTATTGATAATTTAAAAATTACAGCTTTCTGGATGCTATAAAACTGAGCACACAATTTCTGTTTCACGTGTAATCATAAATATATCAATCCTGCTTTTGTTGTGAAAAAAGGAAGACAACTTTTTTATCACCATTTTTCACTTGATACTTGTGCTATTTTGAGCCATATGTATGTTTAGATATTACACTACTTTCAGTTTTTTAGCGGTGGGATAAATGGCTGGCAAGAATCACTTTTCTCCTTAACGTATTAATGATTACTGCAAAAATAATTGCCGCATACTTTTCTCATTCATGGGCTATTATTGGGTCTGTTGTCGATAGCATCATGGACGTCACAAGTGGTTCTGTTGTCTGGCTTTGTGTTCGAGCAACACAGAAGACCAATAGATACGAGTATCCTCTTGGAAAGAACAGGTGAAATTTAATACAAAAGAAAAACTAGTTTAGTCATGCAAATTTTCGCACAAAAATAATTAAGAAGTAACAAAGTTCCTTCCTTATTATCGATGATACTAAATACTGAAAATGATCAAAAGACATTAGGCAAAAAAAAAAGAAAAAAACGATCTTTTAGGTTAGAATCACTCTCTGCGATTTTGGTTGCTGCAATTATGGTGATGACAAATATAATAGTTATTGGTGAAGCAGTGCTGTCCACTATTAATAACACAGTAACGTCTTCCTATTATTATAACTAATTACAAATAAAAAAGACTAGTTTTGAATGTTAATTCAGGCTATTTCTTTGCTACAATACAGGTAAATCCAGTCGTCGATGTGGCAACCCTGTCTATTATGTGTACTGGAACTGTACTGAAGTCAATACTGTACTTTTTCTGTCGCCGACAGAAGACGACAGGATCAAAAATTTTAGCCATGGATCAACGTAACGACGTTGTGACAAATGTGGTAGCCTTAATTGCTGCATACATTGGACACCGTTGGTGGAAATATACGGATCCTATTGGTGCAGTTTGTGTCTGGTAAGTGTTAAGCACTTTACCACAGCATTTTCTTAAAGCATTTAATTGCCTTTTTATGATCTCGGTTTGTCATTTTCTTATTGAAGACACAAAGCATAAGTTAAAAAGGAGCACTTCAAAAATTCAATTATTTGTTTATTATGGCGTTTTTCCTCGTTCGCCCAGCAAAAAAGTTTTCCTATTGATTATCACGCAGTTTTTTTGTGAATCAAAAACAATAATGATTTAAATATATTGTCGTTGAGCGAATGTAAAAAGTAAAACTGTTATTTTGTTTAGTACATTTATCATCGTCGGTTGGACTCGTACAGCACTTGAAGAGGTACCCCTATTAGTAGGTAAAGCTGCACGTCCTGAGTTCATAAACCGGATCTCAAAAATTGCTGTAAACCACGACGAACATATAAAAAATTTGGATACAGTTATCGTATATCATTTAGGAGCTAATTTCATCGTTGAACTGCATGTCGTATGTCTATTTCTCTATTTTTCTTTTAATAAACAGAATGCTACTGAGAAATTCAAAGTCTTTGTCAGTACTTGTGACGGAATCTTTTTCGGTTTCAGCTGTGATCTAAGGCTCTGAAATATAACACTTTGTAGGTTATGGATCCCGAAATGAAACTGAAAGATACACACGATATTTCGGAGAGCCTACAAACAAAATTAGAACGATTACCGTATGTCGAACGAGCATTTGTACACTGTGACTATGAATTTGACGGAGATGAACATATCAATTTGCTAAATATACGTTCTTAGATCATACCAGTAAGTCTCTAACTTATAGCTTACAAAAATGATTAGAACTGCTGTTTATTTTTATCAGTTATTTTTTAAATTATACAATATACATTGAAAAATTTATTATTGCATTAACAAATCACTGCATTAAGTGTTTCAGCAAGTTTTTATTCTTTAAGAAAGTAACACTCATTCTTTCAGGTTTGCTGTGTTTTTATGGTAACGGTTGATGATAATCAAAAAAGCATTTACTTTTGGTAATAAAAGTAATTTTTGATTGTAACAGACTTTTTCTTCTAATATCTTTGTCGTCTTTAACTGCTGTTTTGAAGCATCGCGAAAGTGAAGTTTACTCTCGCCAGTTATTTCCTCTACTTACCAGTGTGAGGTACTCTTTTCATTCCTAACCCATCATTCTTCGCAATTGTACCATTTGGTGTTATACGTTGTTTTGCGTTGTTTTTACCTGTTACTATTTAAACTATGAAGTAATCAAAGTAAGTTTTAGAAGCTACAGTTGCTTTTGAAGCTTCTTCGAATTAGCCTTCACTCGAGGCAGTCACTGTATTACCGATAACGTATCTGTTTATGTCATGCATTTCCGCAGGCTTTAACTTGCAACAGTTTTGTGTTTTAAGCGTTTCTACCCCCTCATTTCGCTTTTTTTTTCTATTTTTCGTAAGAAGCAATCCAGAGAATGAAACTGCTGAATGTGTAATATAGTTTGAATTGATGATCGGATGTCACCAAATACAGTAAAGCTACAATGGTAAACACCGGTACAGCGGAACATCACACTTATTTTAGGAATACGAGATCAACAAATGAAATAAAACCAGAACGTTTGGTTTGAAGAAATCATATGTAAAAAATCTACAATTTACATTCTAAAGAGCTAGCCTCTTTTCCACTTACCAATGTTTATCCAATTTTCATCACTAAACTCTGATGCTTTCTAATTCAAAAAAAAAACATATGTTTTTTAGTTGTATACTTAAAAAATAATTAATTTATAATAGTTATCATGTTACCTGACAATAATATAAGTGAAAATATTTGTTCCTATAAATTATAATTTGATAATAAAAATTTTTAGGTAGAGAAAATTGGTAAAACAAATTAGTTGACATTGCTTAACTCTACAAGAAGTAGCAAATATAAAAATTATATATTTTAATACAATCATCAAAAAAAGTTGTTGATGGTACTTGTGATTGAAACTAAACTGGTACCTTCTTTAATGACGATTCTCAGCTTAGATTCGAACTCTATATTTAGCTGCAACAGTTAAACTAGTGACGCAATTTAGTTATGCTGAAGAAAATAGGGCTTAAATTAAAGCGTATGTAAAGTTTTCCAGAAACTGAAGTAAAGGTTGGCTGGAATTACCTCATTTTTCAACTTCGTAATGATTACCATAAATATACTTGTTGCATACTTCGCTGACGCTTCCGCGAACAGTATTATAAAGATTACAAGTGGTACTGTTATTTGGTTATTTGTTCTGACAATACAGAAGACCAGTAAATGCGAATATACAAGTACCTTTTAGGTAGAATAGGTTTGATTTCATTTAAAAAAAAAATAACGGGAATAATTAGTCAAAGCTGTGTATAAAAAAAATGTCAATTTTCAAGGCTTTTTTTTCACTGATGGTGATAATGACAACCAAAAATGCTCATAAACCATCAACCAAATAAAACAAGTTTCTAGGTTTGAGAATCTAAAATTTTGATTGCTGCTTTGATGATGACAACAAATCTAATTGCTAGTAGTGAAACAGTGATTATAGCGAGTTAATGATACGATGGCATCTCTTTATCTTCTGCTCACTAATTAGTAAATTTGACAATAAAGTGATTTCACTGCTACAATATAGGCAGATTCAGTTGTCATTATGTTGACTCTCGCAATTACAGGTACCAGAGCTGCAGTGAAATCAATACCGTACTTACTCTTTCGGCAACATATGACACAAAATGTAGAATTCTGGTTATGGCTCAACGTGTTGGTGTTTCGACAAGTAAAATCACCTTAACTGTCGTACACGTTCAAAGAATTTATGCTGAAGATATCCCGACTTGCTTAATACCAAGTGAAATCTCCTTAACACCCAAGACTTTTCTAAAGCATTTACTTTTTGCTGCTTTTTTCTACCTCTAAAGTTGATATTTGTCATATAAAGAACCTTTTTTACTGTTTTGTTTTATGCCTGTAAAGTTATACTAACTTCTCTATTATTGTTTTGAGTAAATTATTAAAAAGAGCATAACTGTTTGCAGTAGTAAATTTTCTCTAAATATGAGACAACTTTTTTTGCTTCTGTTCAAAAATTCATTGGTGTTTCAGATACTTTTTTATAAAAAGGCAACTCAGTAGAATTGCTGTTTTGTTTAGTACGTTTGTTATTGTTGGTCGATTCATAGTGCTCAAAGAGGTATCACAGTCAAACTTCAAGTTTATAAAAAACAGTAGAAATTGTTGTAACTCATAATGAACATGTACGAAATTTGAATTTGGTTATCTTATACTATTTGAGAGTT